TCACTTATATATGTTTTAGTTAGAGCCACAAACAAATTGCATGTTCGCGAACGAAAATTCGTTTGTATTCGTTTAAGGCTCGTTTGTTTATTAATCGAGTCGAGCTCGAACATGTAGTTCAACTCGTTTATTATCGAATGAACACAAACACGTTCGTGAACATAAACGAGTGTTGGCGAACAACAAAAATTTTAATAATAATAATAATAATAATAATAATAATAATAATAATAATAATAATGTTCGACTATTAAACGAACCTAATTTTTTGTTTTACATCAGATCAATTAACAAACAAACAAACTTTTGTCGAACACGATTGTTGTGACCATTTTTGTTGCGATTTTCGTTATTGTTTTATCATTCTTTTTCCCCCGTTTTACGTCTTTTAGTTGGTTTTTATTTCGTTTTATAGTTTATTCTGTGTTTTCCTTTATTTTGGTTTCCTTTGTGTTTTTCGTATGTTTTTCCTGTTTTTCTTCTTATTTTTCGTGTGCAGGTCGGAGGCATCGTGAGGGAATGACATGGATCGGGCAATCATGATTATGTAGATGGACTCATTGGCTACACATAAGAAAAAACGGAATTTGATTTCAAGTTCGGATGAATCCAGACGGAACCAAAACGCGAAGTTGCGCAAGTTACCGACCCTTTAAAGGTTGGAAACTCCACATAATTTGTACTCTGAGCAATAATGTGGTTTGCAAGCATCATTGGATAGAGGGTTCGTTAGCGACGCGTAGAAAAAAAAGGGAACTAAATTCCGAGTTCGGATGAGCTCAAACGAGACGAAAACGCAAAGTTGCGCAAAGCTGCCAAAGTCGCGAGTCAAGTCCGACTCGCGAGAAAAGTCGCGACTCGCGAGAAAAAGTCGCGAGTCGCGACTCACGAACAAGCTCGAACAAGCTTATATGCTCACGAACTTTGTTAGAAACGTATTTTAAATATGTTTTATTTTGCTTTTCTGTATTTTATTTTTGTATATATATTTATCAGTTTATTATTTATGGGAGAAAAATATTGTGTTTAGAAGTTTCCTTATCTTATTAGGTCTCCTATTAGGAAAAGGAAGAAAAATATATGAATAGATTTGGCTTGGGAACGAAGAAAAATTTTCTGGACGTGCAAATAAAAAAGGAGAGCCGCATGCGTGGGTTTGATAGCAACAGAAGAAAAAAGCCAGGGCAACAGCGGGGTGAAGATACGGTGCAACAGTTTTCTCACATATTGGAGCAATTGGACTTTGAAGACATTGCTCATATTCTAGCAAAGAGAAGCAGCCATTCTTCATCAATCACCTGGGAGCTTATTGGGGAAATAGAACTTTGATTGTTCTTCTTTTCTTTTAGCATGATTTATTTGATGATATGGATGTGATATAGTTCATATAATTATCGAACTCGCGTTTAGTGTTTTTCATAGTTTACTAGATGTTTTTGAATTTGATGAAAAACATTGTATTTGATTTGTTCTAGTGAATTTTTGGCATGCTGCCTTAGTCTACAAGTGATTTTACTTGTAGGCTAAATTTTGAATTCTCTTTCGTGTTACTTATTTCCGCTGCGTATTTTAATTGTTACATTCGTGTAAAAATCTGGATATTTACGTACCTAAAATACTAACAAACTTTATGTTCAATAACCATCCTAGTGAATAGTAATAGTACTTTTCTAACCATTACCATATTTTAGCTATTCGCCCAAACTATAGTGGAACAAAGAGCTAAGCATCATTGTGCAACGTGAGATCTCATTCTATAGTGGAACATCGAGCTAAGCATCATTGTGCAACATGAGATCTCTCATTCGAAGTGGCCTCCATTAGATATCTCAAGCTCAACACAATTTTGCAACATGAGATTTCATATGAAGGTGGTGTGCCTTAGATAACTCCGTCCTCTCTAGCACTCTACCACTCTTAGAACATCCACAATGCTTTGAGTTCATTAAAAAAAAAAATTATCGGCCACGTGGGAAATATACAAGTGGACTGAATTACTGCAACCAGCAACATAAAAGAACCCAATACTCCTAAGTCTACTTTAAATCTATTTACATGCCACGTAAGCAAATTAAACCCAAAGCAAAGTGGATGCTCTTAAAAAGAAAATACTTCCATTAACAAAATTTTCTACGAGCATAAAAATATTGTTGTGCATGAAGTAGATTTAAACAGGTCCAAAGAGTATTTCAACTAATTCCCAGTCAGCAGTTAGATATATAATAATACTTGAGTTTATGAATCATCTTCACAACAAACTTAATCTGTTGTCATTGCAAGATAGTACAAAAACAAATAGAAAGTTAGAAACAGTTACTACAGCTTCATAAGGAACAACTTATGATCACTGTGCCAAAACTTGCTAATAAGTTCAACTGTTCAAAAACCTAAATAGAAGGCAAGCTGACATGTAGTCGATCCTCGCTCAAACAATGAGATCATCTGAAGCGCAAAGAATGCAAACTTTAAATTGCCTTCGCTTAAATTATTTGGAATCGACTCTTCATCTAGGGGTAATATTTCCATCTTCTCCAATACTAGAGAATTCTTCAAAAGATATCTCACCATGCGAAATTCCTCCACTTCAAACAGTGTTATCTTAATCGTTATAGTTCTGAGACTTGATAATAAGCATGTTGGCACTCGTTTGGGCTCCGTAAAATGGGATGGCTTTTCTATTTCAATCTGATGACCACAAAAGAAAGAAGCCATTGATGTGAGAAAGGAGAAACACTAAAGAACAATTTTTTTTTATTTCATTTTTTTAATAGTTATAAATCATAGGGAACTTGTATCAACTAGTCCAACACTCTTAGAACTAAAGCACAATTTAACTACATCAGCAAACTCCACTTACAACAAGGACTTGAAGATTATCAGCAGCTTCAAGTAAATCTACAAGCAAATGCCATCTTTCACCCAATTGGAGTTCAAGTTTAGTTAAGTTACCAAATTTTCGTAAAAAACCAAGAAATCCTATTTCGAAAACCTGCAAAAAGAAAAAAAAAAAAA